ATACGACACATGGGCATTAACTCGTATTCTTCCGTAACAGTTCTGGTTTTACGAATAAGTGTCAGTATGTAAGATTTCAGATTTTCATGGCGGCGTGTATGAAGATAACTATCCTCTGGGTTGTTACGTCCTGTAGTCTAGTATAATTTTATCAACGTTTCACCATAATCTTTCTGACGATGCAGACAGCGAGTACCTCCAAAACGTCGGTAAAATTTTACCAGATTACAAGGCGCAACAACTGAAGTACGATTAATGATGAAAGCGAAAGTTCAGATATACAGATAACACGAAGCCTGACGTTTGCAATGACTTTCAAGCAAGGTTTTACACGGGCGCTCCTCAGAAAGTACCATCTTGAGGCGACAACGCTACAATGCCTTACATACAGAATAGCGCTACTTTGTCTTATTTGTTTAAAAGAAACATATAATATCGTTTCTGGGTTTTACAAAAATTCTGTAGGAGTTTTCAAACTCAAAAGCGTTAACGCGGTAAAATGCGTACGGCATACATACGGAAAACATGGCTAATACAGTGTGTCTGTTTCCAGATGGAGCGATGGAATTTCAGTTCGGCGAAGGTCGCGAATGTGTCAACTGCGGCGCAATTTCAACGCCCCTGTGGCGTCGGGACGGGACTGGCCACTACCTGTGCAACGCGTGTGGGCTCTACCACAAGATGAACGGCATGAACCGACCGCTTATAAAACCATCCAAAAGGCTGGTGAGTACCTTTACACAAATAGGTCTACAAGCTTCCTTTCTCAAGATACCACACATGACCATACTTAGTCTGTATGCTGGGAAACACTTATAGTTAATTTAATTAGAATGGTTAGGGCTAAAGTTGCCGTCGTGTTTAAGTGCCACACCATTTACGTCTAAAGCCAAACTCCGCAAATTTTTCATTTCGCCACTAGATGTAGATAAACAGCTTAAAGCTACGACCTTTTATCAGGGGAAAGACCTCCCGGATTTGACAGAGGATGCATTTCATGAAGAAGAAGAAACTCCATTTCTTTCTTACGTTCAAGTTCACCACGTAGCCAGTTACTTTATGGACTCGCATTATCCTGACTCGACGCTACAGTAGAAACAACGTCGTGGAATAACCTATAAATTAGCCTCCCTCACAAACAAATTTACTGGTACAGAGTGTAATTAAAAATCACTAGCTTCTTGAATCTAACTGAAATTTTTTGTCCTTCAATGGGAACCATAACCATGGAACAAATCTGAGCGTTCCACGTTCGTTAGAAGTAAAAGGCAATGGTATCAGAGGTTTGGGAGAAATGGTGTCCCCACTATAAATATTATTTCCCAGCTGCAGTACGTTTTAGCTCATTGTCTCTGTTCCTATAACGGTAATGGTTTTGGTTCACGTAGTAAATGCGTCTGTTTTCCTTCTACCCGCAAGCTAGCGACGTAGGCGCAACACACGGTTTGGTCCCGGCTACTGTAGTTGAATGTTCACAGACCGCGACGCGACGCTTGGGTCTGTGCTGCACCAACTGCGGGACCCGTACCACTACCTTGTGGCGCCGAAACAACGAGGGTGAACCCGTATGTAATGCATGCGGCCTATACTTCAAACTACACGGCGTGAATCGTCCGCTCGCTATGCGGAAAGATGGTATTCAGACGAGAAAACGCAAGCCCAAGAAACAACAGAATGCTGGCAGCGGGGTTGCTACCGGCGAGAAGACACACGAAGACGTGACTACATCGGGTATGATGAACACATATCGCGCAGTTACGAGTCATATAAAGTGTCTCAGTTAAGCCTTTTGTTTTCCAGGTAAAATGAAAATATGAAACCCGTATATTCAACGCAGTTAATACAAACTTTCATCACTGACCACAATCCTGAGCCAATTTAAGTTAACTTTATCCAAGCCGAAGTCTAAACAACAGCGGGTTTTCATCATTGTCGTTACATAACAGCATCTCTCACATCCTTAATCATAGGCCTAATTGTACATTTAATTGTAGTATAATTTGTTCGGAGCAGAACTGATAAATCTTACTTTTCTACTACACAGAATTATAATCATAAAAATCGTGTGTTGTTAATAATATGGAATCCAACTTAGCTCATGGGTTAGCGTTCTGGGATCGCCAGCTGGTGATGACAGCATAGAATCCTACTATAATAAATATTTTTATTGCTTGTAATTTTAAAATATGCTAGGGTCATTATTATTTATTATTATTTGTAAAGAACTTCTTACTTAAGTGCCGAATCTGACCAAGTAAAATTTGTTGGATGTAAACTCAAAGCTCCACATCGTTGTCATGTTTGTTATTGTCGGCTTCAAACAATATTTAACACAGAGTTTTTAACAATATCTGTTCTTATCACCTTAATAAATTTAACACTCCCAGCTCCAATGCTGTCGAACTAAATGCTAAAGGACATCTTCTGCGTGATAACTATGGTGATATTTTAAACATTGCACAAAAGTTACTTCATTTAATCTTTAATTTCTATTACGATCCATAATTTAATATCCTCCATCAGGTGCTACTGTCACTCTTATCTCACACGATCATATGTCCACTATGTTGTTACTAGTGTGTCTAAGATATTAAGACGTACGGGGTTTCATACACAAAACAACTAACTTCGTCAAAACATATCCATTGGTTCAAGAGCTAACCAGAGGGTAGACACAGAGCCAACGCCATGATCTCGTAAGCCAATCTTGCTTCTTTCCCTCAACAGACCGAAAATTTAAAGATGAACTCCAGTTTTCATCCTAAAGTCACAAAATGTAGGTTCATACTCTGACAGAGTAGCTGATAAACATGTTTTCTGTTCAGAATCCAAACCCAACTCAGGACAAACGCAGTCAAGTGATGGGGTTGGCAGCAACGTCCACCAGTCGAAGCCATCCCTGGATGACACTCGTCCCTATTTGGGTCATACGTCCCTGCTTGCCCCAGCTATCAAGTCAGAACCCTCTGAACACCAATTCAACAAAATGGCAACCAACACAACTGCTCTGACAACAGGAACTGGTGTCTACTCAAGTTTCACTGCCGCAAATCATCACCAAATTAACAATCATCAGATATTTGGCTTTCCACCGCCCCCACCACCCGTAGCACCAGGTTCAGCTGGTGATGTCAGCAGTTACGTCATGGGTCATCATCATCATCATCATCATCACCACATGACTGCGGCGAAATTAATGGCGACTACATAGTGCGACTAGTAATTCCACAATGATGTCACAAGCGCCCAGAAAACTGCATTATTTTGCGAGTGTTTACTCCGTGTCGTGGGATAGAGCGAGTATCTGTATTCCTCGACACAGCACCAATACTTCGAAAACGACCGAGTGGTGATCACTGCGAAAACCAAAAGAACTCAAGAACAGCGAATCCGAACTAAATTCTGTGAAAATAAGTGACAAGTGTGGGAGCAGGTCAGTTTCCTGTGTTATATATTTGCGAAAGAGAGACGTCAGCTGAAATTAAATACTACTTTTGAGTCCAAAATTTACAAACTGTACGACACGACACTTCGTATCCTCTACTAAAATGAGTATGTTATCAGTCAGAACGCGCAATCACTTCCGGGATCCCTTTCAGAGTCGAACAAGAATTGTTCAAGGAAAATAATAACGCAAGAGGATGTTAAAAGGAAAACTTTAAGAAATATTATCAGTTATCAGTAATTCGACGTGACCTTGAAATTAATGGCCAAGATGTCTTAAAATTTAAAAACAGTCTGGCTCAAACTGCAAGCAAAATCTTTAAGTAATCCTGAAGCGCAGTTTTAAGGCAACATTAATTAACACAAGTAATCGTGTACTTCAAAATTACAAACAGGTTTTCACGAAATTATTACTCTGAAATTGTTTTTAAACATAGAAAGAGGTTTTAAGTACACCAATTCCTCGATATGTCGTTATTTGGTTCCTTTAAAATGCGACGGATGAGGAAATAGACGGACTGACATAAACTAAAATGACAATTCGTTCCGGTTTCATATAATCGTGTATCAGATCACTTTTTTATAAATAAGCACAGCAATTCAGATCATTTTAAAACGGTTTAGTAAATAGATACAAATTTTATACATACATACAAGCACAGAATTAAATTAAAAACAATGTTTAATATTAAATAATTTTATTCAAGAAGTTGAGGGCTGTGAATCATCCGTAATCTTGAAAAAATCTAGAGTTGGTTGGATTCTAGTTTTCTTCATTTCAGTAAAAACTTCTTTGTAGAAGCTAAGATCAGCGTCCACATTTTTAATAATTTTCAATTTCGTTTCCAAAGTCGTGACTACTCTCTTAGCTTTTCTAACTGACTGTGCAGACATGGCCATTGATTTTATCGCAAGACAAATAAACAAATAAGGTGAAAGTACTCTGTGTTCTACGGGTCTTTTTCAGCAAGGGGAATGCTGTTGGTAGTATATATTCTACTTTACGTCGCGATTTCCCGCTCTGCGGATCAAACTTACGAATTCCGGCCGAATTACCAATCGAGATGGATAAAGGACACCGATGATGGAAAGGAAAACAATGGTCTAAAGAGTAAAAAGGATACGACAAACGACGGATTCAGAGCCGACGAATAAACGAAGGCTTGCTGTAGGTTCATGCCACATGACAGACGTAGGTTCCAGTTCTAGTTCTAGTAAACAGGCCTACAGAATGCGCCAATGGTACGCTCCTTGGACTTTTCTATTTCCATCAACAACAAAACATTCACAGACCACACATTGACTTCTACTCCGAAAGACTAAACGTGCGAACTAGCAGGTTTTTCTATTGCAGTTCGGAAAATTACGATTTCTGTTCCCATCATAATATGAAAGAGAAATAATCTGCAGAAAAGTATTACTTTACCACTTTCCCTGAAGTTACTTAAAAGCGTCATAGAAGCTAGAATGCATACAAGGTATGCGAAGCAGCATATAAATACGAATCATAATTGAACAACAATAGAGGTGGAAAGTATGGCGACATAAGTGAACTATTTAAGATGGTTTATCTGCCACAGAAGTGTATAAAATTGTTTCCATTTAAATAACTTTAATATATACGAACTTTTAAATAATCTATCTGACAACTATTTAGCAATTATTATATAAACAAAGATGGCAAATTCACAGCGTGTGACAAATATTTACATTTTTACATATGCATATTTAGTAATACCTCACTAGTAGCCTACTGCACGTTCCCCATCTCCGAAACAACGCAGTAAAGGAAGAAATCGTTATCGAAATAAAACATTCATTCATCTTCAAGTCTATACACAACTGTTTCTAACCCCCTAAATTATTACACCGTGTAAGGATTATAAAGTTTTTCACACTGTTTAGATGTATTTCATAAATTATTTTAGAGCAGCGTTTTCAACCTATGGTACGCTTACCACTGGTGGTACACGAGCCAATATTAAGTGGTACGCGAACTAAGTAAGAAAATCAAAAGATTATAAAAAAACAATAAATAAGTTTTCCCTAAACGAATTTGGTTAGTGGTACATTTAATGTGTTAAATTAGAATTAGTGGTACGCCAGCGAAAAGGGGTGAGAACCCCTGTTTTAGAGCACAGTGTCTTCTCGATCCTCCAACCTTCGATTTGTAATTTATATCTGTAGTATCGAACATTAGCACTGCCTGAACAAGTAGTGAATCGATTAAGTGTTTGTGGCAGTGTTAATAAATAGCAGGCATAATACAGCGTACGTACTTTTGCCACCAACTAAACAGATTTCCAAGCAAACGTAATGTTTAACATTCAGACTATTTTATATGCACCACTCATTAATAAAAAAATCATGTCGCATTTAAAGCTACAATCTGGCATTTACCTGGAGGCACTGAACAAAGAATGGTGAATATTTCCTGGTTCCCGCCATTTTGTAAGTTACAAAAAATTTTGTCTGTAGACCTACAGGACAAGTTTCTTGTTCCACCCAGCAATGCGGCATTGTACAGAGATTAATAATTACAACCCCAAATGTTTCCATTTACCATAATATTTAATGATTCAGGATAAAAATATACCTAAATAAACAAGGCTATATAATGTTATTATTGTGTCATCATTATTAATTAATATTTAAAATGCAAATTATACCATAAATTTTTAATTGCACAATTTTCCCTTCAAGACCACGGTCGTAATTAAATATTTAATAATGCATATATAATTATGTAATTTATAATCAAAGTTATTTCATGGACAATTTTTCGGTTCAAAAATTTAAAGCAGAATTTAACATTCTGGTGTAGTTACCACACTTCTTTATATTAAAAAAACAGGAACCAGTAACGAATAATTACGATGATATTTTCTTATAAATTTATATCAGATCATTAAAATTAATATCCTTCTTTTGCATATTTTATCTGACATTAACTTTCTTCGACACTAAGCCTTAAAATTTTGTAAAGAAATGCAACAATTGAAAAAAACTATAGAATTTAGACTAGACAATTTTATATGTAATTGCCCTACTGTGATCGTGAGAAATGTGTGTCGTGTCTTGTGGTGTTGACGTAATGAAGCACGTGTGTGTTTGAATGTTTCACAATAGACGGCGTATGATGGATACCATGACAGAAACAAACGTTGTTCGATGTCCATACATTAATATCGCCAAGTAGCATTAGCTAAGTATTTTCAAGTAACCCATGTATATAAACACAACATTAAAACTTTGATTAACTCAAATTCTCTGTGGTTAATAAATTCCTTCCCGTCCTGGTTGACAAGGACCTGCATCCTCTCATTCGCAAATACAGTCCAGTTTCTCTGACTGAAAACCTTACACAAATTCTCAGTGTACCATGAGGTGAAAAAGTATCAGGATTTAACGTGTCTCTCCGCAATGCACCAAGTATTGGTAACCTGTAATTCCTACCCTATCAGTACTTAGGTATTTTATTTATGCTGTTGGTCACATTGTCAATTTGCTTCAGAGCTTGCGGACTGAAGCGATGCATCAAAGGAACTCATGCATTTGTGAGTAGGACACAGTTAAAAGCCAAGCCGCTGTGTGCATTACGTTTATGTGAATTAGGTAATAAAGTTATGATTGTACGAAAACAAATGTTAATTTCAGGAAGCTTGCTTTTAGATCATAAGAAGGTTCTGAGGAATGTAAATAAATGGAAGATCAAATTATTTAAACCGCGCAGGTGGAATAAAATATGAAGATGATCGTGTGTGCTGTGCAGGTAAGGACTTGGAAGGGAACTGCCGTGGCCTGTTCTTAAGACGCTATCTTCGCATTCATGTGAGAAAATGAAGGAAAAATCCCAGTCAGCATAGCTAGTAGCTCCACCAGGATGGAGTCACCATATCTTAAAAATAAATTTTGGAATTCGTACGAAAAATAGGAAGGTTACGTAAGTTACTTTATAAGTAATTAAAAATTATACCGATTATTCTTGGTTTATTTAACAACGCTCTTTTTTTCTGTGAATGGTGTGAAGAAAGCAGTCGATGTCCTTTTGTAGGGTGCTCCCACAGCATTTGCTTCAAGGAACTGAGGAGTTTCGAACTGGAACCTCCGAATATGAAGCGGGGGTTTAATGACGCTGGCATCGCCATGTTTGACTGTGCAGAACTGAAGTAACTGAGACGAATCTCATTGTACAAAACTCTCATTATCACGCCTCTTTTGAAATAAAATATTAATTATGATAGGTTCGATCAATTCTATTAAGGTACCTGAATTAACCTTCTCCATCCAAATCTGTCAAATGGTTCTCGAGTTGAATTGAATAAACAGACGGACAGACGGACGGACGGACGGACGGACGGACGGACAGACACGACCTGTCCATAATGCGTTCTCGCTGTGCGCTTCGTTCAAAGAACGCGTAACAATTTTGTTGTCAATGTGTCCTCTTTGGAGTACACACACATTCCAAATGTGTTTTTAAGTCACATAATATGCATAGGCTTCTAACATTATGAATGCCGATGACGTCATCACGCATTTGCAGACGATCATGGGTTATGACATCATAATCCTAACATATCACAAATTGAAACATCCGTCAAGTTGGCATTTCCGACTGTAGGAAATTAAAAAGTGCAATGTGGACTGTGCCACAATGGAAGTCTCCATACCAAATTTCATAAAAATTCGTTCCCGAAATGTGTGCTACTTCATACGACCACCGATAGATGGGAGCAGTGTGTAGAGTAGCAAGGTCAGGAGTTAGTGGGCTCACGATACACAAATTTCCTCACATACATTTCACACGATATTGATACACACTTTGAGCAATTATATAAAATAGGTCTGTACTAACCAACAGCCTCGGCGTTGATGATGTCTTCCACAACTCGGGCAGAACGCCCATCTTCTTTTGTATAGGCCTATAACCAAAGTATACCTGTTGCTCACAACTTGTAGAAACAAAGTACAGTATATTGACTCTGTAAACAAAAGAGCTTGGCTAAGGAATATAAAGACTTTAAACACCGCACTTCATAAACAGTAAGTACACTGTCTTCTCTGTTCATGTGATGTAGAAGAGCACAAATAACGAACCATCTTTTTATCGGAAAGAATTTCGCTACATCACTTGTTTCAATATTATCTCGAAACATGCTCACATTGATACAATAACACTAGAAGCCGCCCTCAAACGAGTGCACCATGAACTTAAATACTAAGGTTATAAATCACCATGTAGGATGTAATTAAAACATAGATCCATACTCACCTGAAACTATAATGTTTTTGCCAGAGTATTTATTTCAATTCACAATTTCAAAAACTCGTCTTAGCAACACCAACTCCCCACTCAAACCGCACAGTCAATTCCAGAGAGACAGTTCTTTCCTGTCATAACAGAAGCGCTTTGTGATAGTACGTTTTTGAGTGCGTTCATTAAGCACGGTACAGTAAGGTAAATACGAAACCTTCTGACGTAATAGGGCAAGGTGGTTTTGATTTAGTCATTTTTGTGCTGGGGAAAGTTAAAATATGCAGACGATCTCCTCGAATTTCTAGAACCAAGACACAAAATTGTGTCATTAAATTGACACCAATTCTTTCATTCCAATATTCAGTGCTAGTAATGATGACGACCAGTGAGAGATACTAGAATAGTTTACTAAATTAAAGATGTATTATTTCCAAAAAGTAGTCTGCTTTTAATTGATTTTTACTAAAACTCTGAACAGATGCTTCATAAAACTTTTGCAACAGTGCCTTGCCTTATACTTATTTGTCTGTTGTTTGAAATATGGAAGGAAAATTAATCTGGTTACTTTCCTTTAGCTTGTTTTTAAATGTGAGATATAAATTTTAATCTCACGTTATGATTTTCTAAGAGCACGCTTCAGAAAGATTTCTGTAAAATAAAATAAAGTGATGGAGAAAATTGCATCTGTAATTTTTATACTATGTTAAACTTGAACAATAATTTCCCACAAAAAATGTTCTGGTCACTTCCCTGATTTTTCAGTTTGAGTGCCCCATTCATAAAGAAACAATAATATAATAACATCACTAGATCCACCTGTAATATTGTCAAAATACCTAAACATATATTAATCTGATATCGTCTTTTGAAGTTTCATGGATGTACGTAGTTTTTCATAAAGTTTAAACTATTACAAAGGAAATGTTTAAGATCAGTAATATGCACTTAGAATTAAAATGATTTTTGTAGCTTTATGCAGTGACTCCACAAGGGTCACGCATATAAATTCAGTATCAAAGGTGTAAAATATTACAGTCATAACATAAGTGCCAAGATCTGAATATTATATTTCTGTAACTTCAGTTTGTCTTCTATCAACTGTGATCTTACAAAATGTAAGATAAATTCTGTATATAATTTTCATTCCCTATAATTTATTGTATTGTTATACAAAAATTTAGACATTACTGGTATATATTAGCATGTGTATGTAAACCACTTAAATTACGTACACAGACAACAATAGTTTCGGACCGCATACATTTTTCCCTAAATGTCATCACTGTCGACTGTGTACTCAAATACAAATTTACAATCCTTTAAAATTTCTGTACATCTTGAATAATTTTTCAAGTAATTTTATTTATCATTTACTCACAGTAAGTATACAAGATGCAGTTTCATACTTTAAAATTGATGCTGCTATTAGAAACAGAATTTATTTGTTTGGAGCGATCGAGTTTATTCAGCAGGCTTACAAGTGTAATACAAGAGGCACTGATCATAGCAGCACTTGTCAGTGCCTGCACACTGTCGGTCACTCTCGCAGACAGGGGGAGACTGGTTGTTACTCCCTGGCACAGCTGCCCCAGATGCCACTGGGCAGATGGGTCGAATCAGAGGGCATCTGCCTGTTTTCACTGAAATTAAAGAAATATAAATCATAAATGTTTTCCCATATCTGATAACTTCTTCTTCTCTTGCACTACAGCCCTTGGTGGGCTCTGGTATCCCGAACAATATGTCCCCATCTCCTCCTATCTTGAGCTACCTTCTTCCAGTTGCACACTTTCATCTTTGTCATATCTTCCTCTATCGCATCAATCCACCTTCCCCCTTGGTCTTCCTTTAGGTCTTCTTCCCCACAGTTTCTGGTTTAATACCAAATGTGGCAGTCTAACCTCTCCCATTCCGACCACATGTCCCGGCCATCTTAACCGTTGTGATTTAATATATCTCACAACGTGCTCATGATGGATCAATTACCATATCTGATAACAGCTATACAAATAATTATTATGAGTTACAGACGATCTTGCTTACAGTATTTTTAGCCTACTTTCCTAATTTATTAGGAAGGAAAGGTTTATATTATCTTCCCATGTGTCTTATGTTTCTCTCTGCCTAATAACTTCTGAACCCTGCTTCTGCAGCCTTGCCAAATATGTATTTAGCTTTAAATGTAATGACGATGATGAATGAACAACTGGAGCCAGGTATATGACATTTGGCATAGAGACTGCAAACATACACACAAATTTTGTATCAAAGTTTGAGGTTATGGCTGACAAATTTAATATAGCTGAAACCCGTACTAATGGTTATTATGCACAGAAATGAATCACTAAATTTCTGGGTTTTGATTTGTAGTTCCTGCTAGCCTCTTCATATACACTAATATATTTGAAAGAAATGAGGTATAATAAATTTTTCCCAGCACCTTTTGTTAAATAACAGTTTTCAGTACTCCGCAGCCAATCCTCAATTCACACATCTCAATAATCTTACCGTAATTATCGCAGCAGTAGTACTGCATCGGCTGCCATGGATATAAGCATGGTAACTGGCACCATAACCTGCATGGGCCTGTTCCTGACACAGAAGTAGCTGTCGACTGGCTGTTGGTGCTAACAGTCAGTAATAAGATTAACACTATTCTGAAGTTCAGCGTGGTTTTCTATGGGAAAGACAATTAGTAACATAAGTTAATTACAGTACAATACAAATTTTGTGTTCTGCGTATATCAGAATGTTAACAGAATCAATCAGATATGTCTTCTGTCAACGGAAAAAGTGATAAGCCAACATAAGGAAATAACACTAATAACAACATACCATAATATCTATGTAGCACATGTAGTCAAATGTATGTTGAGTTAAACTTTTCCTTATTGCTAATGAAAGAAGAGTTTACACACAGACTGGCAAAAGAAGAACAGTGGCACATTATTTCCCAAACTACACACATATTACTGACCCTGTTTGCATTCAGTGCTAAAATGTGATATGGCTTAGTCCAGCCACATAAATAAATTACTAAAAAACTAGATAATCTGATAATTAAAATAACTTTACTACAAAATACGGTGTTTTAACTCTGAGTTAGTAAGTATTATCCACTACAAATCACGGACATGTATAAATTACCTAAAATGAACAAAGGTACAGTATTGTAATTCACATTATTTATACATACTTATAACACTTTTGCTATAAACAAGAAATACATCTATAAGTCATGGGTGGATGTGTCAAGTATATGACCTAGATGACTTTGATGAACTTCAACCTGATAAAAAAGACAGATATAAACAAGAAAGTATGAATGAGATCTGAATGTACAAACTTCCCACAAGAGGAAAAACAAACTTATGACCTAAAATATGCAAATAATAAAAGACACAGAGGCCAGGGTAATCATCTCATCTTCAGTATTTAAAATCTTACAACTTATTACTTATTCTAGATTCTGATATTTGTAAATGTTGATTATATAATTTTTATTGTATGACCTAAAGACTCATTACTACAATAAAAGCACATAAAAGAATCTAGCTCAATCCAGTCTATATAATTATGACATATTATCTCAAGACCCACTGATATGTAAAATGCTTACCTACTATACTCTATTCGATGTTACATAGTTCCATTACAGTTTACAATGTTCAGAGCTCTCACATCACTGCTCGACTTCTCTTAAATCTGTCACTTTGGATATTGTCACCATCACATTACAGGTGACACTGCTGTCACCTTACAGTCATTTTATATGGTATTGTCACTAATGCAGTGGCCGCACGGTCTGAGGCGTGGGCCTTGTGCCGCTTGGTCGCTGGGACCATGGGTTCGAATCCCACTCAAGCCATGGATGTTTGTCCGCGTTTTTCTGTGTTGTGCTGTCCTGTGTACAGGTAGAGGCCTTGCGACGGGCCAATCCTTCGTCCAAGGAGTGCTACCGAATGTCTATAGATCAAGCCAACGAAAAGTTGGGATCCACAGTGCTCAGGCACTTGCAGAAAGTGTCGTCCAAGTATCCCCCAGTATTGTCACTAATGAAGTTATCCGCTGAGATGCGGGAAATCTTAGGAGCTGTCTTCTTTCATATAACCATAATAATGACACATACAGTTTGTACATATGTCACAATAGTTTGTCAGTTATTAAAACTATAAAATTAATTAGTGTTCAATTAATGAAGTTTTGTGTTACTGCATTTACAAAATTAACATCTCTTATTCAGAATGTCTACTGAATTTTCACCACAATAAAAACATACTAAGCCTTTAGCCATCATCTTCTACCAGCGAGAAAGTCACCGATGATTGATTGATTGATGACAATTGATTGATGTATTATTTCCTTCTTACCCTAATACAACATTTGGAACTAAGTCAGATGAAGTCACATAGGACTGGAGAAAAATATCCCATAAGGAGCATCGTCATTTATAATATTTGGATATTTAAATCAAAAGGGATTAGGTGGGTTGGACATGTCACATGCCCTGCGCAAGGGAGAATACAGTATTGCATACAAAATTTGTATTTAAAAGACCTGAAGGGAAGAGATCACTTGGAAGGCCAGCCAAAAGTGGGTATTAAAATGTGTCTTAGAGAAATAAAATGTGAAAGTGTGGACTAGATTGAACAGGCTCAGGGCAAGATCTATTGAGCAAACACAGCGATGAGCCTTTGGATTCCACAGAATTTCTCACCAACTAAGGAAGGAACTGTTGGAGGAAGACCTTGCAGTTTACAGGCAGTTTTTCCTGCAGTAAATTAAAGAAAGGAGCAACATCAAGATAAACAATTTGACACATTAGCTGTGCAAAAAATATACTTTGTATAATGGGTATTCATAGAGCACACAATTTATTCCTCTACAATGAGCTGAATGATATCCAATCTGTCCTCTGACAATTGTGCGTCCCACTGTACAGCTGGACAAATGAATATGTGACTATGGGTGTAAAAGAAGGACATTATTCCTAACAATAATAATAAACAGTTGTGTCAAAATAAATTACTCAAGCCAGAATATTAAGGTGTTTTGGAAGCAGTACATTTCCTTTTGTTGAGCTTTTAAAGGGCATTTGAAGAGAATTGTGGTGTTAGTACCAAACACCTTTAAATATTTTGGTAACAAATTACAAATTAGGTAGGAAGTAATTTGAAGTGGGAAATACTGTCAGTTGGAATAGAATAATGAGATTTCACAGACCATAATTTTCAAACTGAATATATTTCATTCACTACACAAGTTAACAAATAATGCCTGTCAGTTCTTAATTTGTAAGAAAGAAAGACCGAAGGTCCTTGGCCGGTGGAAGACAGGCAAAACATTATTATTCGGGTAACATTATTAACACTTTAATTTAGCTTAACTCTGTTTTATGTAAAAATAATAAGTTACACGTTAAAAATAATAAGTTGACTGCACTTCATATGAGACCTGACGTGGCCAGATTCTTCACAAATTAAGTCCTGATTAAAGCAATGAATTAGCTGAAGTTTCCACTGTGACAAGTACTGGTCTGACAAGATAAAAAAAACAAGATGTATCTACGCTTGAATTGTGATGTTCAAAGACGATTTTCTATAAAAGATTCAAAATATAAGGTATAATGGTACAAAACATATCATGTATTGCAAAATTAACACTTCAGCAATTGCACAACAACTTTTAAAGTTGTCTTAATTTTTATCCTACAGATGGCGATACTAACAAGCTTTTCTATTTAGGAAAGTCATGAAAAGTCCATCAACAAAAAGATCAACAGACTTAGGAAATAACTGCTAATGAAAGCAACGTAGAATGAGTAACAGATTTATGAAAGGTGAGATGAACTACAGAACTCAAGAATGCAAAACAATAGTAATCAATATAAATTTTTCATTTGCTTCTTGACTTAAACACTTAAGAATTCACTGGTCTAGCCTGCTTTGTGAGAAATAGTATGACAATATAGCAGCACTGGCTCAGTTAAAATACACATTTTATTTCTGCACTCTAAACATCTGTTGACTAGCAAAGTGGGAAATTAAATTATTTATGTTATGATATTACTGTAGATGTACGCACATATTCATATCTTAAGTTGAAGGGAGGAAGACTAGCAAATAAAAAGAGTAAAAACTTTGTCAAACGAACAAAGTAGGCCATTCTATAAACATTTAGGCACTAACCTTGTGTTGAATAGGGTCTTAAAAAGTCTTAATTTAATTATCATATAATTCTGAGTATAAAAGAAAACAGTTTGTTCACAAACACATTTTCACTACTCAAGTCTCCACATCATGCCACTGCCTCACTATAAACTAAATAATATCAATGTGGTGGAGGTAAACATAATTGTACAGAATATACAGCAAATTTATATAAAAAATATAAAAATATTATATAATGTACATTACTTAACACTTACTAAAAACTAAAATGCATTAAATTCATGCACATCCAGTTTTAAACATCTGTTTGTGACATTCAGCTATTCTTGAAACAAAATTCCAAGAAGTTGTAAGGGTTAGTAAGAAACAACTTCTTCTCTATCCTTTAAGCTATATCAATTTTGAATTCACATTCTAATATTCATCATAATCTAGTAAAATAATCTCAACCAAACAGAAATAAGCTGCCATAGTTATGGTAACTTCTGCACCAACAGTATCATACCATCTCAATATAAAATGAGTTAAAAAAAAAGACTAGTGGACAAAAACTTGAAAACATATAGGGAATTAGAGAGAAACACTTCACAAAGTTTGAGTATCTCTTTGTGACAACAAGCATGACTATTTCATTTATCCACACATACACTAATAGAAACAATAAATAATGCATCAGTTGAATTTGCAAATTGTTAACTCTGAATTGAGTATGTCTACAACTGGCCCAGGAAGAAGAGTCCTTGCCATAGTTTGGTGTCTCACCCTATACAATACTGTTTCACATGCTGGGCAAAGAAATTCATTGTACAACACTTCCAATGAAACTCTGCTCAGTTTGGATGAAACATGTAACGCAGCCTTTATAGGCACTTGAAAATAAAACTTTGCACCAAAACCGAAAAATTACAATTTTTATAAATATCTCTTGCAGTATGTTAGAAACATGCGAATCTAATTCACAAATACCGGCATATGGTTTGTACAGTATGACTACTTTTTCTTAGATATTTCTGACTATTTTTGAATTGCACAGCATGAATTTTAAGACAATTCAAAGTTCTCACCACCTTTATTTGGAAATATTTCTCTGCATTTGCAAGAGAAAAGTCACACCATTTTTTTCATTATATTATTAACACAACATGAAACCAGAATTACATCTAATAAATTTAGCAACTAAATAATATTTAATAATACAAAACAAACTAATGCTGTGATAATAGTTTATTATAAAAGGGAAGATTTGTGAAAATCCACTATGTGAAATTCAGTGAGAAAGTATGTCAGCGACTTAAACAGAAAGTTAAGATCTGTGTGAGGTGTCTGACTGTTATACTACTTCGCCAGCACATTTCTGATGTGGGTAATAATAAAACATACAGTACTTCTGATTTAATTACAATAAAAACAAACAAGCTATTTACAGATTCACTGAAAGACAAATGGAATAATTAAACCCAGTGAGGGATTTTCATGTCTATATTTCCAATCTTAATTCCATCTTGCATTAACAAAACATGGAATTACAACATGAAAGAAAATAATAATGTTAAAGTTTATAAAATGGCCCTATCCTGGCTACCTTGTGACTAAGGAATTATGTATGTAATTTATTTTCATAGATACAATCGACTTTTCAAAGAATATCCTTCACCATAGAGTGAGTGAATTAATATGATACTAATAATCTCATTTGAAAATTGTGTAAACTGTTTGCCAGCACTAACCAAATTTCTATGCATGAATATCACATTCACAACCAAATGGAAAGAATGTCACATATTTTTTAGACAGAATTTGTAAATGTGCTTATAACATGGCACCATACAGATTTCTCATAAGTTACAGTGGTTCCTCAAACTAAAATATTTTATACAGTCACCAACCACATAAATCACTATATATTCATGGGTCTCATGCTTACCTATAACATTCCGCAGAAATGTTTAGACTTTATAATATAACTGGAAAAAAAGATGACTATCCTAATCCTAAATGCAGTTCTGTATTTCATTCATCTGAATAAAACATACAGCATGTACCTGCGCCTTATTTTGAGAAAATTCATCTCATGTGTATCAAATGTTTTTTTCTCAGTATAATAAAATGGTAACAAGTATATTTTTATGGCAACATGAAAAGAAAGAAAATATCTTCTTTTTTAAAACTTAGCATGCACAACTTCTAGCAAGTAAAACTAAACATCAGTATTTGGTTATTTGGTTTGTTCTGTTCTAGTCAATTGACAATTTCCATAGTGTGCAAACAGCTTCCCCAATTCATCAACAAGATTAGAAAAATAATTCTGTTGACATCTACTTGCCTCTCAGATGTAGTCCCTTTTGAGGTACTAACATCCCATGACAAATATTATAGGTGTATATGGTCAGTATTTGTGAATTGTCGACTCACAGAAACAAGTCTAAGTCTGCCAGAGGGGACTGCTAAATTCATAACCTTCCAAGTAAAGAATAATCTTATTAACCTATAAAAAAAATTAAAATTAAATCCGTGGCGTAACAGCCCTCTGAGAGCCAAAGCCGACTAGCTGGCTTCACGTTCACATGCCTAAGCAGAGGTGAACGATCATCCAACCAGATATAGGGTGATGTGTGGTCAGCACGACGAACCCCCAGCCATTGCTAGCTTTCCTGACCGGATTACACTACTCATTGTAGCTCCCCAATTTCCTCACGATGCTGGGTTGGCACCAGTCCCATACACTGGTCAAAAGCTCATGAGAAAATTTCTTCTCCCCCGAGACTCGAACCAGCGCGCATTCTGTATCGCCGGTCCGAAGCATGATGCTTCAGACCGCGCGGCTATGGCACGGGACCTTGTTAACCTATAACTGCATCATAAATGTAAGCACACCAGAAAAATTCTTAGGAATTATATAAGCTTTTATAGCACTGGAAGAATAAGAAATGTACTCTGTTTTCACTGAGTATGTAAATTCATAAAAATAAAGACTTCCTTTGTATCAAAGATATTTAAATGGAGTATTTCACTGTGCACTGTGTTTATAACAAGCCTTACAGAAAAAAAAAAAAAAATGTGACATTACATAGCATAACATGAGATAATGTCTTAAAATATTGCTCACTCTACTCCCTGGATGATCAAATATGTGAGAATATCTCACGATTCTCATTATTAATAATATCTATCGTGTCAGATCTAGAAACAAAAGACTGAACATTACAAGCTATATAATGAAGTAGTCTCTACAGCACAGAACACTTTCACTAATTCATTTAACCTTTCTTGTATGGGAATAAGGGATTTAAACTTCCTGTACTACGGAGCTGCCGCGCAGACTTTAACTCCAAAGATTAAAGGTTTAGTTTTATGTTTCTGCAACAAACAATTATCTGTATCATGTGTGTGAGATATGAAACACAGATGATAAAGGTTAAAGGAGTGTCCACACTGAAGTCCACAGTGCTAAAGTTGGCATATCTTAACAACGTTGACAAACTTTAATATCTGAACCTACTTAACATACAGTTTGCACCTACATTTGTGTGTACAAAGGTTCCTATCTTTACAATATTTTTTGGTTGAATGCAACAGTATGTTGTGCATGACAATAAAAAACACAATGAATTTAATGCTTATTACAAAATATGAGGGAATTATGGAGGTTTAAGTAACAATAATTAAAATTAAATATTTTGACAGTGAAGATAAAGGCATTCATGTGGGTTTCACACATGAAATTCAATGTTAACTTCACGACTTTATCTTTTAAAAATATTACCTCTTCCATTTATCACATGAGTAACAGCACCTTTCCTTCTAAAAGACAACTGGTCCCAACTATCACATGTGTTACCTATTAATTCTACAACTTATTCCTTGAGTGCAGACGTGTGTGTATAATGCTCATATAACTGGAAATTTTTGGTCAAGTAAACAAAGTTTTCTTACTCAGTATGAAGAAAAGGCTATTTAAAAGTTATTTTGTTCAAGAACCAAACATTGAAGTGGCTGACGCTTCTGTTTTGTGTCTGGGAGTTTCTGGCCTTTATTACTGGTCCAGGGGCCAGACAGTCTGTTTTAGTGATTTTTTCCCCCCAGGTTGATATAATACCTTAAAACTGGCTACAACAGGTTCCTTCCACACCCTTCCCAATTCACAACAACTCTCACATTTAACACCAAATGCAATCTATAAAATAAAATAATCAGCAAGGACCCACCAAGGAAATGAATAATATTAAAAATGCCTACTGATAGTATTTACTGAACTATTCTTGAACGGTGTTAACAATAACTCTTAGTGTGGACACACCTTAAACCAGGTTCTGTAAAAAACAATGTTAAAGACTAGATCCTTCTTCTACTGCAGATTTTTGGGTGCAACTTACAAGGATTTCTAAAGTAACAGGAAGTATACCCATCATGATTTCACATGTCTATTCATAAAATGGGTTTTGGCATAAAATAATGTGGATCCTGTATCAGATCTGAGGTTATCATGGGCATGAAGATGACAGTGTTTGTCTTCATAAAGATGAAAGCAGTAAGTTCCTCCAAAATGATAGTATCTATCTACGAGTCCACACGGTGACAACCCAGTAGACCAACATTAATATATTTCTGGGTGACAACACCATGTAAAAGTGAAAGCCATATTTCTTTTTCCATATTCAAGGTGAAATGACTAGACAATGGCCCAGTCAATACTTACAATACAGATCAATGTAAACTGCTCCATTTGATTCATCAATCCATAGCCAATGAAAAATGAAAGTGGGGATGGAAGAAGGGAGAAAAAAGAAAGATATGAACAAGAAGTGAAGAAAATGGAGGGGCCCTTCAGATAGATGTATCAGGCACTGGAGTAAACATCAGAACATGCAGGCCAAGTAAAGTTCAGGTATCTTACTTGCTTCTTCAGAACATTTTCAAAGTTGAGCTGAGCTGGTTTTTCATCATTCCAGGCATTCTGCTGCTTCCCCTCTCCCAAAATATGTAGGCCCTTTAAAAGTACAATTTTCTGCCTAATTTCATTGGTTATTGCTTGACAAATCAAATGGAGCAATTCTCATGACCTGTACAATTAGGAGTCACTTTGAAGATGAAGGCAGCAAGTTATCGTAAATGGCAGCAATACAGCCTACATCTTCACAGTCTCATAATCCAGACAGAAACACAATCAGCATATCAGCACTAGCACTGAATCACCATGGAAACCTGTGATCTTCTTGATGGAGGATGATTCTTCCCTAATCAAGTTCAAAAGCATTAGAAGATATACATGATTTGGGATGTCAATGCATGATGTTTGTATCACAAGACTGCACTGTAATAATGTAATCAAAATAATGTGATGCCAACTCAAAACACCAGTGTCCAAGACGAATTCTTGTTTTAAAATTTGCAAAACAACACACTATGTTCCAGCAGTGTTTCCATTTAAGCTGACAAGCATGCCAGCATATTAAAACAGTGATAACTGGTGTCTAGATGGACGTTTAAGTTCTTCATGTTTAGAAATTTTTCATACTTAACAAAAAATAAAAAAATCAGCAACAAAAGAAAACCATTTGTTGTAGAAGCTGTGTGTATGAACATCTTAATTTCTTCTAAGCTCCTCATAATTTTAAATACATACTACCATGCTATAATCATTTCATTTCAGAATTCAAAACAAGGGAACCTTAAACTAATGTTATTCAGAGATGAATATTTAGATATAATATTCTAATACTGAGGTCTTAAAATTAATTTAAAACTTTACACAGTAAGAAAATATACCAATGTTAGTCTATGTCTGCAATGTGCAGCTCAAAATTACACTACTGCTAATGTGTACTTTCTGTAGTTTATCATCTAACACACTTCAAATTTATTGAAATAATTATTTGCTATTTGAAAGTATCACTTATGCTTGCCAGCTTGTTTTGTCACACTCATTCCCTTACCTGACATGTAAGGAGTTTCTGCGCACAAAAATTGTGTCGGAGAGCCCAAACTTCACTAGCACTGTGTTTCTTTGTGCAGGGCTCTGGCGCTACATCACGCCATGCCATTATCTAGGTGGGTCCTCTTTTTTGAGTCTGTTCTGTGCAACCTCACTTCAACACTAGTAGCAGATGGAGCTCCCACTTGATGGTCTGGTGTGGACTTAAGGAGGTCCGGTTGTTGACCTTGTTGCTGCTGGCTGGTGGAGCCCAGTGTACTACAGTGAACAGCAACAGTAGAGCTCAGTGTACTATAGCCTGTTCCTCCAGCTGTTGTGGGCTGACGACTCCGCTGCAGAGACCGATGAGACCCATTGCGAGTGAGAGTGCCCATCTGGGGTGTTCCAGGAAGACCATGCCCAAGAGCATTCATGTAGTCCGCAATCAGCAATGTCAGCTCCAAAATCTGTGTATCAAATTTTAGTTTGACTCTGCATCACAGTAAATATAAATGATGACAAATACCAGATATAAAGTATAATTTGAAAGTTAAATTTTAATACTGTGGTGGAACAAATATGCTAAATTCAAGGGCAAAGAAGTGTCAACATTGATCTTCTGGATTCTAATGCCATGAGGACTTACAGGTAGGAATCACCCTAAAGACAAGGTCAGTAAGTTCCTTCAAAATTATGGTATCCACTTACAAGTCTACACAATGCAGAAAACCAATGTTGACATCTTTACTACTGTGCAAACATTAAATCTCAAACAAAGAATTGATCAGGAGAAGTACAGATGTCAAGATCAACACAGAGTTGCATATGCTACAAGAACAAAAATATTGTATAAGAATGTAAACTCTATTCATTGTTTTTTTTTCCTTTCTCTCATCCTCTTTTACCTGTAGGTGTCAAGGTTTTTATTTATTCATTTTTGATCTATTTTGGACAATGGTAGGACTCCTTGGATGAGTGATGAGCCCGAAGCAAGGCCTCTACCTATACAAACACAGAAAGACGCAGACAAACTTCCATGACTTGAGTGGGACTCGAACCCACGGTCCCAGCGGCCAGGCGCACGAGGTCCATGCCTCAGACCGCGTGGCCACTGCGGCTGGCCTGTTCATTGTTATGATATTAAAAGATCACAAGTCACTTTATACTGCTTGAAAATATGTGCAAAAAATACAACTTATTCTTTAATTGGTATCAGTACCAATAAAGGATTCCATGGAAAGACAGAAAAGGACAAAAAAGACTTTGCCACAAGATGATCCATTCTATGTGTTGCGGAGTGACCTGCCTTAGTCTCCTGCTAGATTAACATCGTTCATCTAGCAATTACAGTAAGTCAGGTACAGGAAAAGATCCATATTAAAGAAACAGAGAATATCATGCACACACATCTTTTTATTAGAATCATGTGTCACTTGTCAAAAAGACACGTAACTTTACTCCATTCTTCATATAACTCTCTTTGTTCACAATACACCAAATTTCACTTTAATACAGATAGTTCATCTTGATATTAGGACGAGAATTTGTTGCAAAGTGCATGCACTGAATAAAAAAAATCATGAAGCCAAAAACACCAAATCACAAGACTGGCTGTTCAGTCAACATACAGGCGTATACAGAAGTGTAATGGTATTATTCTTTACCTTTGGCTTGCTAAGACCAAACAGTAATTTCTGACTGCCTACGCCTTCTTCAGCTGATACCACAAGCATGAAGTCATCCTGACAGCCTCCGAATGTAACAACGGCTGAGTAAGGATACCTGCAGAAATTCCAGTTGTTAGAACATCTACATGTTTAAGAATTGTAATGCTGCTTCAACAAGCAGGAGACTGTCTTGAACTGCAAAAAGTGTCCCTGATTCCCAGACAGTAATAAATAACCAGGAAACTGATCAAAGGAGTTCCTTACATGTAACACAATGAAATACAGAATTACTGAATACAAGTTTCATAAATTATGATTATGAAAATAAAACATAAGACATGGATCACGGAAAAGATAAACTGTAATAATCATGAAATAAGAGAAGTGGAGAGCTTCAAGTACTTTGGAAGTAAAACAGTGGCAAGGGGAAGTGTTAAAGAAGACATTACAGAAGGAACATAAAATTCAGGAAAATTTTAGAAATTACTGAGGAACTTAATCTGGAAATGGGAAATATTTAAGATGGGAAAAATGTTTCTATATTATAACCCTGATAGAACAAATAACGCCTATAACAAGAACCTTATTATAATATTATGGCAAGCAAACTAATCTGCGTCGTAAATTTATTAACATTAAATACCTGTAAAATGTCACACAAAACAGAGCTTCTTTTCCTGCACCATCACAACAAACAGTTCCTAAGCAGCTGCCAAATTTCTTCTACAATTCTGCAAAATAAGCTCGCATATGGGAATTAAACAGGAACACTTACTTTGCTAGCGTCTGCATTGAAGCCAGCTCCAGCAATGTTACACTGTCTTCATTGACCACAAGCCAGAGCATTGTTCCTAGTTCAACTCCTGCCCATGGTTGTGGAGTGTGCAACTGAGCTTGGAAAAGGGATGCGCCAAAATGTGGCCACTTGCGTGTGCATGTAAGATAAATGCGCACACAATCCAAAAGGCTTCGTCCTTTCAAGGTTGCCCACTTGTCTTGCAAATGTTCCTGTAGTTCCCTGCAATAGTTACAAGCAAAATGACAACAAACACACTTCATTCATGTTGTACAGCCAGAGTAAGGTGGATCGAAGTGTGCTGAGGATCACAGGCACCTGATGTATAAACAGAAATAGATTTATCATGAAAATTATCAATGAAGTTTACTGTGCAAGTTATACAAAATGAAATTCAAAATTAAAATGAATACTTGTAATTTCACTGCTAGAACATATAAATTTTTTTAAGAACATTTCATTTTGAACATAAAACACTATAGAAATTACTGCTAAGAATTTTTATACAGTACGTATTATATGAACTTTGCTACAGATTCAACACTTTCACCCACTTTTCATTTTAACAGATTAATAATAATAATAATCCGAGGCATAACAGCCCTCTGACAGCCAAAGCCGACTAGCTGGCTGCTGGCCTCACGTTCACATGCCGAAGCAGAGGTGAACGATCATCCAACCAGATATAAGGTGACATATGGTCAGCACGACGAACCCCCCAGCCATTGCTAGTTTTCATGACCGGATTACGCTACCCATTGTAGCTCCCCAATTTCCTCACGATACTGGGTTGGCACCGGTCGAAAATCTCATGAGAAATTTCTTTCCCCAAGACTTGAACCAGCGCGCGTTCCGTATCACCGGTCCGAAGCATGATGTCTCAGACTGTGCGGCTATGGAGCGGGACCATTTTAATAGATTAATAAACTATTATATTCCGTGTCAAGGAGATAGATGACATACACAGAGAGTGGATTTTTCATCATCCACGAGTTGTATCTAAGAGATAATAAAATAAATGTTGAGTTGAAAGTGTAGCTATGATCCTGAGCAACTGGAGGGAGAAACTTGGTGTGATCATAAAATAATCAGAGGATTAAGGAGGGGGAAAAAAGAAAGAATATTGCCTGCAGCAATAAACAGTTGTTGGTTACTTGGTTCACAGATTATGTAATGATGTATTACCTTTGGAGATTATTTGCTAACAAATAAGATCACAGGACAACTAAGTAAGATAAGAATATATACACTGGATAATGGAGAATGAATAGCATATCTATGGAAGATATCAAAATAGGTTGATAAAAGAAAAAGAGAATCACAATATTTCTTGGTAGGAAGTTAAAAAGCAGTAAGGCATTTAAAAGCTGTATTTAGGTTTTGGTTTAATGTTGATAATTACTGAACCATTAAAGGTAGGCATGACATGTGAAATTTCATATGGACCTAGATCATAAACATATCTACAAAATATAGAAATTACAAACATGGTGGTAGTGTAGAGCTTTGAGATTATTTCAGACAAATTTAATGCAGTCAGAATTTGTACTAGTGAAAATTATCAACAAAAATAGATTATTACATCAAATAATTACTAATTTATAGTTCTCACCATATAGATTAAAACATCAGATAAGGAATGTCCACCACAAAATTTCCCATAACTTTTGCTTATCAGTACAACAAACTGAAACACAAATAACATCTTACCTGAGTTGGTCTGGAGTTAGTCCATCCTTGTAGCGGTAAGGGTAAAACTTGTCCAGAGCCTGAAGTACTAAATGATGTGGGCTTCCTGTTGCGCCACCACTCCCTCGTCCCTTGTCAGAATTGTATTCTCCAAAGTCAATCTGGTAACAAGTAAAGAATTTTAGCATTTTACCCATTGTATATGAAACAATCTTTGTGAGTAAGCAAAACAAGACAACTTCTGTTTTATTTTTGTCGTAGCCATTAAATACACCTGTTTAATTCTGAGGACCCTTTAAACATTCTGATAAACCAAACCAACTAAAGATCAAAGGTATACAGCCACTGAAGATATTTATTCACCACCAATGCAGGGGGAAAACATTTATGTCAAACATCTACAAAAAGTTTCCTTAACAACTTCAAGCACTTAAAGTCAGCTATAACTGCAGACATGATATGTTTCTTCAATATAAAATGCACATTTTCTTGCAGCAAAATAAATTTTGTGTCATAACAATGAATAATTTGGAATATAATTTCATTCAAATGCTTCAATCTAGATTGTGAGATTAGCAAGAACTATGAATTAAAGGCAAAGCTGTTCCTGGTCCTTATTATTAAGGACACTAAAATAAAGATAAAGTTTAAAAAACTGGGAAAGAACTATCTCATCAAAGTGTGCAAGAATATTCAGCGAGGATATCTGCAAGGTAAAATACTTAATTCACCTGAGCCATGAGCGCAGCCAGTTCCAGGGCCAGCTCCTTGTTGAGGGGGAATCTGCCGTGGATCACTTGCTGATTTACTTGGTAGCACAGCAAAAGACGTTCCCTGTCTGTCTCCATCTTGGCACTGTGCCTCCAGTACAGTCTATTCTTGTAAGTAAGCTGGATTACACGTGTGTTCTCAAACTTTCCAGAACCCTTTTCTCGTAATGCTGTTTCCCACTTTGAGATCACATCACATAACTGTCAACACAATCAATATTCTGACTAACTTTCTGGGAACAGAACCTGAAGGTTGCCCCCCAGATGACAGTTATATGTAGCAATTCAAAATTGCAGGCTTCTTAGACGCAGATGATTGCTCTCCTCAACACTGGCACTTTATTAATTGTTATCCTCAGTCTAATCAGTGTTGGCACAAAATTATGGCCATAAAATTAATTGATGCATTGTATAAAATCATACCTTTGCCTGCAGCTCAATAAAGTGTTCTAGGTCTTTTTCTATAGGATCATCACTGAAGAGGGTGAATCCTGACTGTGCAGAGTCCCGACAACCAATTTCCTGGTTTAGGGTATACAAGAATTCTTCAATTGTAGTTGATCCATCAAAACTGATAACCTGCAACAGTTTCCCTACCTTAGTGTTTTAGTGCCACGACAAACAATTACAGGTTTTACAGCATGGAAGCATGACATAATAATATGTTCGCCAGAGATGGTCTTCGTAGGAATATTTTACTGATACAGTAAAGATGCTTGTTAAGAAGGTAAAAAGGTAAGTTATTGGGAATTACTTTCTGGGAGCAAGTATTGATTTTCTAAAACAATGCCCAACCAAAATAAACTTTATGTTTCAAGTAAATATTTGAGTGTTTATTAATGAACAATGAACAAATTTTGGAAAGGTATTTTTTTGCTTCAAATTTTTGGTTATACAGATTGCAACAGGCTTTACTGGAATATTGGTTACCTGATAAGCTCCATTGAGCATGTGAACTGGTATGGCATGTGGCAGTGAATGATGATAAGGATTTTTGAGCAGAATAGACAACACTTCCATACGTGAAGGCTTTGCCTCTCTTCCACCATTTTGCAGTGTTCTTTCTAGGGCACGTTGACAGTACGCAGCATATTTACCACACTCACTTCTGCAAAATAGAGGAAATTAATTTTACACTGAAAAGAACTAGTACTTCCGTTATTCATTGCCCATGATTTATTAATGTTACTCAACTGGTGATCCAAAGACTGCTGCTGGTCCACAAATTATAGTTAATATTTTATCACAGGTACCAAATTACTATTACACAACTTGAGACTGTTTTCACTTTTGGTCAAGTATTAGGAACTATATTTAGTTTGTGCTGAACATGCAAATGATATGCTGGTGTGACACATGAACTGTTGGATTATGCATAAACTCTGTCACATGGATGATAAAGGTTAATGTAATAAAGCTTATGAGATTTCTCAATACAAACTTCTACTGACATACATTCACAAAGTATGCTGCCAGAATGAAGTCAATAACAGATGAACGTGATGTACACTTCCTCTTTTTAATCCAAAATGACAACATGCATTTTCAAAAGATAAAGGTTCTAGTCCTTTGTAAACTTGACTTTAAGTACAAGGACATTAAATATAAGGAACTGATATACTTGAGATTTGAGGTTTTAGTTATGATACTAGTTCAGATTGCAGTCTTCTGAGTTATTGTGCCGTAGTGCTTAAGTTCAACCACAAAAATGAATTTTACTCTAAATTAGTTGGTATAAAACCACAAGATTATATAGTACAATTACCCAAAAGACCACATTCTATATTAAAATACTTACTTGGAGTCAGCGTTGCGGTGGAGATGTAATTTCAGATACCACAAGAGCCGATTGTTACGTGGTATGAAAAGTGACACTGCTAGGGCCAGTAACTGCCAGCCCTGGACAAACACAAATGTTGGCGGATTGGTCTTGCAGTCCAGCAATGGTGGTGCAGGTGGGGGCGTGGCCTGCAGAGAAGTCGGTGAGCCCCGCTGCATCCCACCAGCACCACTTCCTCCACCGCCATTCCCTGATGAGGATGAAGAGTCACATGCGAAGAGGGACTGAGTTGCACATAGCAGCAGCTGCTGAAGGCATATAAAATATAAAGAAGGTAATTAAGCATTAGAAGAAGATTTGTGCTGTTCATAGAAACAAAAGACGGTACGCAACAACAATAGTAACAACAACAGCAGCAAAAATAATAAGATAAAATTTATTTAAAAGATGAAGAGACAAAATCACATGAGGGAGAACAGAGGACATGACCACAATTCAGTCATATAAATGCAAAATATAAAAGAGAAACAATTAATATGATCAATGCAGAGAAAAATTATGTGTCGTCCAATCAGAAAGCACAACAAAATAATCATACAAAATATCTATTAAGTCCTTGACATAGTTCATATCTTTGGGAATGGTAGTAACAAATGAAAGTTACATTCACAGAAACATTTTGTCAAAAAATCTGAAGGGAATAGATGATTCGGGAGACCTGTCATAGATGGAACAATAATATTAAAATGAACCTTAAATAAAACATCAAAATGGATAAGAAGCCTATATACAAAGGCTAAAAACATAGATGAGATTTGATGGAGCCACACAACAAATATCAGGAAACACAGCAAATAAGGTATAACTACAACTGGTCTCTGAAATCTCAGTCAAATTCTATCAGACCACACAGCCCAACATTGCTGATGACAGTCATCTGATTTTACTGTGATTCTAATGCTGTCATGATAATTATATGAATTTGGACAGGTTTAGAATCAAATATTTAGTGAAAAACATATAAATAAAAACAAAAAGTAATAACAGCAGTAGTAAATCAGTTACTTTACATCTTTAACTATGAATTTAGAAACACATACACTCCATGTGACTAGTATCTAATCCTCATCTTAACAGGTGTATGGTCAAACAAATTAAATTAAAATTACATTACAACATTTAGTCCCTTCTTAAGTTGCATATCAAATCACATAATAACAAAGTATACTGCAATGCTAGCCAGAGAAGGGAACAACTTTCCAGGTCACTAGGCATAACAGCACAACAATAAATTATTAAATTAAAAGAACAAAACAGCAAACTCATACACATTCATTACAACATATGACAACGCACTTGCACCACAAAAGCTCCTGCGTACAACGCTACAGTCTGCCAGCAAACTTCCGTTACAAAACCTAATTGCCAGATGAGAATTACAGGAAACAAAAACAATTCTGTCATGCAATCTGTATGTATATTATGTTTCATATACTAATAATTTCTGCCACACGAGTGATAGAAACATTTTCTTTAGCCCTTCAGAGTTATTTACAGAGCTAACTGCACTGATGGCAATGATGAATTTGAGAAAATTTTTGTTTTACCTGGATCCAACAGTTTATTTCCTTGAAAATATAAAAATAAAGTGATCAGATTTTTTACAGATACACAAAAATAAAATAAAATAAAATAAAACAGCAATCCATGTAATAATATCATTCTAAATGTCTGTTTTTGGAAGAAGAATGACAAATTAACATTATCACATAATAAAGAAATATCTTCCCCTGAATTCATCCCCAGCTCATTCTATATTTTCTCACACTATTGATCTAAAACATCTATTTGCATTCAGTAATATATAGATTTAATTACTTGGTTTCTTTAGCTCACTTCATCTATCAGATACACAATTATCCTTAACCATGCAGATACAGACTTCAGCAATATAGGCTGGGCTGTGCCCATCTAGGAATTGATTAAAAACTTAACAAAAGAAGACTGCCCTAGATTATGCACGGTTCTATAGAACTGAGAGCTTTCCTCATATTCAGTGTTATATTCATCTATACAATGCAACAGAGTTAATCTTCTTTCATTTTAAGATGTTTATAAGTTGTAAAACACCCATTACTAACAAAATAATTATGGACAGTTCTTTGTGCTAACACCACTAATCTATTAAATTAATGAAACTAACCCATGTGCCATTAAACTATGATAAAGCATGCCAAAGAAGAGAGGAAAGAATAACAACATTGAAAAATGGTGTTCTTTTTATACCATGATACAGTGAACAACATCCAGTAGTTAATATTTGTTCTCTTCATGTCAAAATTAAAGATGCATAATGGCAAAGTTGCACCTGTGCACAAAAACCACAACATAAAAGTGTATAGGGGGAATGTAGGTAAAATTATATGGATTCTAGACTTTGGTCTTGGGACCTAAAAGTGCACAACCAAAGGAAAAGTGTTAGCAGAATAAAACTTACATAATAAACTTGAAGATATTCAACTTTTAATTTTTACATTCATAAAATGGATATTTTCTTTCATGAAACTCTTAGTCACATAAAAGAAAATGTTACAGAATTTCAGCATAAACTGAACTCTGAGTAAAACTTCCAAAGATGCAGACCCAAGGAGTTTCAGTTTGTATAAAAGGCATAATGTCTTTGGAATGAATCAGATAGGTACGTTATGTATTTATATTCCTTCCTGTAAGACTTAATCTAGCACCTCAGGTGGACACAGGATAAGAAAGTTCTGTTCCATATATGGTTGTATTTTGTATATGCACATAACTTGAGGTCTGTAATGAACATGGGCAGCCTGTATTATGATGCTATATATTTACAACTCTATTACTACAACAGTTTTCAGAATCAGTAGTCTGAAAGTTGGACAAAAGATGTAGCTAGATACAAACAATTTAATTAACTTCAATTTTTATACATCTTCCCTCTCTTCTGCGTATCAGAACTAAAAAACTGGGGTGCAGGCAGGAAAAGCAGCAACCACACTTACGCGGGAGTGCTTAAACTTGGTGATGGTCCTGTTTACCTGGACCCCAATTTTGTGCTGTGTGTGCCTTGAGGTCTGCTTCACAAGTGCACACATCAGTTCCGCCTGCAGCTCTGGCACATCAAGACACTGCTGCAACGCATTCTGGGCCAGGACAACATGGTAGTCAATTCCAGCACTGTCCAATGCCACAGATATGAACAGCTGGCAGGACTGTAACAATAACAGCGACTAGTGTAGAGATCTAACACTGATAATATATAATTAACATATATATTACATATTATGTAACTATGCAATAAAACTGACATGACTGTTCATTCCCTAAGAAATTTGGAGGCATTCAGATAGTCCCATGATTAGACCTGACAGCTCATTAATCAATTTGTGGCATGTTGTGAACAATGATTTCCTTAAAAAGGTTTATGTCCTTGTTATTTCCCTCCTTTCATGCTATTTATTCTAAATTATTACTATTTATGCTATAATACAACACATACTAAGCTGACAGTCACTCAGCTGGTAAAGAAATTTCCAACCTTTCTGAAAACTCAAATTTTATTACTCTTGTTCACAACAGCCAAACATTCCTTCTGTTGTCAGCCATATGAATCCAGTCTACACCCTTCCTACATGCCAGATCTCATAACAGGAGAATAAGGTGAATGAAGATATCCATTAGCCATACTCTAAGAACATATTCATTACCAAGTTTATAAAGCAAGGGCATACATAAGAATGCACTGTTTAGGTAATAATCAGCTTCCCCAATCAACAGTGTTTTGGACCTCACTATACAGTGAAACAGTTGGACAAAGTGTTATACAACTTTCACACAGAACAAAGAATCTCCAAAACAAACGCAACACATACTCCACTTCAGTACAAGCTAAAATACAGAAGCAGTAAAATTACTTATGCTGGGTATTTAAAGATTTGGAAGTCACATAAGTCCACTGATCAGCACCAGGCAAGAAGGATTCACTTCTGGCAGATACTTAAAAAAGTATTACCTTAAAAAGTTTTATGGCTTCAGCCTGTATGGCCTCTGAAGAAAGCGTAGTCAGTGGGGATGCGATGCTTTCCTTGCTGTGAAGCAGGTGTGGATGTCTCCAAAGAACACAGTCTGCAACAAGAAATAACACAAGTAAATTAATTTTTTGTAAATATTGTGCTCCTTATGATGCTACCAGTTCAAAACAAAAGAACCAACTCACTTGGATCACCATCTGTTTCCATCAGTTTTTGAACAAGCTGCTCATATTGGGTTCCAGCATTTGGACCTCCGCCAGATACAACAGTTAAGTGGTACATCCAGGAATCCTGAAAGAAGACAAAAGTGACATTAAAATCTGTCAATGCAGTGAACACAATGCCCTAATTCTCAGTTCAGCAGTGTCATGAAAAAGTTATTAACCAACAAACTGAATTTGTTCAGAGTCATATGTAGAAGAAGTCACAAACTGATATCTAACTAGCTAACTAGATGGCTTACCGAACACAAAGGTTCATCACCGAATTAACCAAAGCCCTCCACCGGACCCTGTCCTGGGCCAACAAAATCCAGTCTCCTTCGACTCCTAACTCCCATAGATCCCGCCTGAGATTATCCTCCCATCTATGTCTAGGTCTCCCCAGCAGTCTCTTCCCCTCAGGCTTCCCAACCAATACCCAGTGCACACCTCTTGTCCCATCCATGTGTGCTACATGCCTCACCCATCTGATATCTAACTGGTTTACCAAAAAACAGAGTTTGACATTTCATGAAGCACAGTTGATATACAGCTACCAAATTAACCTTAAAACTAATTTTTCTTGAAACCTTCTAAAATATAGCCAGTCACTTCTAACATGACACCAATAATTTACTCCTACCAATTATATTTGATTTGTGTTTCAGTCTGGACTTTTGGCAAGGATGTTCAGAGATGGGTTGACTTTTCCTGTTCAGAAAGTATGATAATTACATTTGATCCACGTCAGAATCTTGTTAGCTATAATAAAACAACATCACATTCCACATACCTGTACATTCCTATTAAACTAAACCTCTTCTACAGTTTAAACACAGTCTACCACAATAATTATTGGAAACTAATAAAACACTTATGGATTAACTAAGAAAGGAATTTAATCTTCTTGTTCATACTTTTACAGGTTACCCTACTTATGAACTGTTCTTTCCTGAGTTTGTGGTCCATTTTAGAAGTAGAAAAAAAAAACTGGCAACAGAGAACTATACATTTGTACTTTATGGTATTGAGAAGCTTCAATGTTAAAATGTGTTAATAAATTAATATCTTGACATGTACAACTGTATGTTCAGGATCTGAATAGGCTATAATAATGCACCTAAATTATGCATCAGACTGCAGTCTTTCCTGGCAAAAGTCAGTGTACCTTTTCTTGCTTGCTAGGCATGAGTAGGTATGTTGGTCCCTGGTGAGTTGGAAAGATACCAATAGTAAGCTCTGTGTTGTGACCATCACCCTCTCGATCCTCACTGTCAGAGTCAGAGACATGATCGACCTCTTCCACACGGGCATCTCGCATGTTGATTTGACCAACAGGGTTCTGAAAGATGGGACAATAACATAACATAATGGTAACAATAAACTGAGAAGCAGCACATAATACCTTTATTATGGGGGGTACATTCATTGAGCTCTGATCTGCATATAAAAAAATGTTTATACTTCCAAACACCAAAAATTTGTTCTGTCAAACACAATTCTGCACAGATTCTAAGCGCAGAACAATGAATTAATTATGCAACACACTTTCAGGTTAAATAAATTTATTTATTCCAATATGTATTCATTTTTCAAATTCTCATAATTGTATAATTTCTTGACCAATTTCTTCATCACCACAATCTCATTTCCAGCTAAAAAATTAGTTTATGCACATGCATACAAAGAAATTAAAACACATCTTTAGTGTCTAGAATATTATCTTGTACTAATTATCCTTCTTTTCAAGAGTTTGCATGCTAATGTAAATTATACCACATCAGCTTGTTTAGACAGTGTAACATGCTTTCAAAGACTAATATGCATAATTATAAAATCATATTGGATGTGTTTAGATTAATTAAAACTTACTTCTCAATTATATGATAATATTACATCTTATTCTGTCTATACTCACTACATCACCAGCGATCTTGAAGTAGAGAAACATCTTGCCAATTAACACACACCAGCACTTTTTGGCATGACCATTCTTCACCTTTGTGAGCCAACCCTGTAAAGTTGGCTTGTTGTCTTCCTTGCTGAGCAGCAGTTTAGTTGCATTCCGCCGCTGAACATTCTGTCAAATACAAAACTGCAATTAATTTAATATCACTTTTAAATGTCGCTATCTGTGTTACCAATGGTGTCATCTATAAATGTTGCAGTCCTGAAGTGATGTAGATGGAGACAATATAGGTATCTATTAATACTTACAAACTGCATAGCATTAGTACCAAGAAGAAAAATATCAACAAAATTAAACTGATCTGATAGAGTATCAAATGTTAAAATAAATGTTCAGTACATCAGTCACCTGAACCTCACTAACCTGAAGAACACGGATCCAGTCTTCCATCGTTGCAATTGAATCTGCAGTGAGGTAGTATGTTTTCTTGCCTGTAGAAATCTCAAAAGTAGCAGCACCATCAGCACGTGTAATACGACAAATCTCATCCAAAACTATCTGTCCTTGTGGCTTTCGATTTACATCATTCTATAACAACAACAAAACTACTTTCAGAACATTGAAATATTTTACAGATAAGATGTGATTGGAAATGTGATCTTTTAAATTAGAAGTGTTTCATTTGCTGTATTAGAGACAAACCTGTGACTTCCAGTATGTCAGCACTCCATTCCTGAGCACAAACCAACGCTTCCTCCATGTCTTTAACTTCCCGCCAAGTTTTGCCAAATGCCCAGCTTTTTCCAGAGATTCACCAGTAACCCTCTTGTTGGGGCTGTCTAGGTATGATGATACACGCATCAATAATGACGGCATTGATGACTCAATACTGGTAGTGTCTGCCCCACAACAAGACAGAGCATCCGGTGGGACAGCATAGTCATCGGACATCCCCGACTCAAAGGATGTATCTATCACATGCCATGAAAGGAAAACAGTTAGTAGTACATTTGAAATTCATGATCTGATGGTATAAATGTTGTAATAAACATCTAATACTATTTTACTTATGTTTTACAAATAAAAATGTGTTGTTCTGTAATAATACAAGAGTTATAATATATCGGATTTCACTGTCCTTTATGTGAGACATAAATTAGCTCTACTAATAAACACTCGCTTCCTTGAAAGTCAACATGGGAAGACATAAAGCAGTCAATTTATTGTTCCAGTGCAAGCTATAACCTATCAAACTTCCTTTCACAAATTACCTGCCCTTTAGTGTTTCAAACAAGCAATTGTTTCATGTTTATAAAGCTATATTGCATTTGTCTGAGATAGCAGCCCATAAATTTCTTGTATGAAGAACTTAATTATTCTGACCCTATTGGAAACATAATAGTTGATACTTTAATACAGATACTTTTATGTCTTTGTCGAGAAAACATTTCTTTAGTTCAAAAAGTACAAATTATGTCAAATTTAACCAAGACTGATGGTGATTAAGAAAACATATACCTCTCTTCATAGACTTGGAAGGTGAACCTGAAGAACTACGTTTTGCTGGCGATAGACTAGATGTTGTTTTCATACTTTTACTGGGACTTGATCCTGAACCACCAGTTGACACAGATGTATCAGTGTTGTCACTACTGCTGTTTGTAGTACGGGTGTTGGTAACATTTGCTGATGCAGGAGTGTTGGCAGCTGTACTTCCAGGATGGTGATGGTGGTGGTGGTGATGATGGTGGTGCACAGCTGATACACTGCTCTCACCACCATGATTGTTATGTTCTCCAGCTCCTGTTACTGCACCTTCTCCATCACTTGAATCATCACTTGAATCACCAGTAAATGGCATAGACCTAATCTGACTTGCTCTCTGTAATGGAAAAACAAACAACTCAGACACATTTGTTCTTCTCATCTGTGTCACATTACGAACCATGCTTCCTCAAGCTTTAACTCGAGTGAAACAAAAAATAAAATAAAATTCTTTCTTCCCCATAACATTAACCCACATTCACAAAAAAATAAGACTGTGTTGAATATATGAAATACTGATGTTCAGTAAACGTTTGCAGGTATTCTACTCCCACAGACCAGGCTCATACCTGTTCTAAATAAGATAAAAATAACCCATTCATACATTTAGGCTGGGGCCACACGACCGTACAAAGTACGTCCGTTGTAACGCACATCGTGACGTCCGTCATAGAATTACGAAGGGGCATATAGGGTACAACACACGAAGCATGCGCGCATCATGTGTTGTACCCTATATGCCCCTTCATAATTCTATGATGGATGTCACGATGTGCGTTACAACGGACATACTACGTACGGTCATGTGGCCCCAGCCTTATGCATTTACAATCCAAATCACAAGTCATGCATTCATACTACTTGTATCATTCAGTCTTCCCAACTTTTTTGTTTGTTTGTTTACTTCCCGTGCATTCTATTTTTCTTTAATTCTTTGCCATATAAGTATTCTGGTACCTTTATCTTGCAATGACTCCAAAACTGATAACATATGGATAATGCTCTTTTAATTTGTATACCTTTTTTGTGAGGTGGGAGGACAACATTAACATTCATCCAGGAGAAATAAGGTTGTGAAAATGTAAATTGGCTGAATTGGCTCAAGATGGTTTCTGATGGAACTTTTCATAATTTCACATCGCCTGTTAACCTTCATGTTCATTTACCGCAAATTAAAATATAATGAGGCATAGCTTATCAACCGAAGCAATATTAGACAGCACATAGCCACAGATTCTCTTGTTTACAATGATAAAGGGATAAAGTTTTTTTTCTACTCCTCCTACCCCAAAACTCCATTTTCTTAAATTTACTCCATATTTAACAATCTTATAGCTGAAAGTTATGGTCTGCAATTAGTTAGTGACCTTTCATCAGACAACCATCTTTTTATAAAATGGAATATTTTTAGAAGAATTTAACAAAGTTAAATGGAATCTTTATGTAAGTTGTTGTAGCAGAAAAATACAGATAACAATGAAATGTATCTGATAACTTCCATGGAAAACCATTAAGTGGTTTTGGCAAGGATCTGTGTGAAAGGACAGACAGATAGACAGACAAGAAAGACACACATGACCTCAGCACCATGTGATCCCCTAACATATTCATGCAGAGAATGCATAAAACACAGGCTCAATGATTATATAACCACTGTGAAATATACATCCTCTAACAAAACACATTCTTTCCTGTACAGAAGTGCAGCTTCTTACTCCTTTGACAGTAGCATAGACAGGAACACTGATGTCACAGTAGCCTTGTGCTGAGCCAGAACCTGATGGCTGCTTCAAACTGTTATTGTTCGCTGTATCTGCAGTACCAGTGTGAGCACCCATCGGAACTACCTGGAGCCCATCCGCTGCCACCTGATAGATCCTGGACTCCCAAGATGGAAAGCGATGGAGTGGAGGGGTGGGAGGTTTTCCAGCACATTCCAGTGATAGGGACCCTCCACTATTGGTGCTGCTTGTACTGCCACCTACAATCAGAACATCTTATAATCATGTACACAGAATGTCTAAAATTGCATTTATTAGGAACACTTACCTTATTTATCTACTCTCTCTTTTCCTTTTCTGTCAACAACAAGAAATATGTATACAAATTAGCAGGCATATCTATTAGTTTCAAAAACTTAAAGAGAACCACCTAAAGGTGACGGATTAAGGTCAAAACATATAGTGAATTCATAACGAACACTGAAACTATAACCAAGAATTGTTGTGGAGATGGACTGTCAACCTAACGAAGCACAGAATTTGATTTTTTATAGCTGTATCATTTGTTATTATATATGTGGAAAAGATGCCTAAAAATTTAAATTATGCCAAAATTACTGTGATGAGAATGAAACCAATGTAACTAATTTTTTCTTCTTCCTTATGTTGCTTCTATACTTGTGGGTTACTTTTGCACTTTATTTTCTGCCAGAAATAAACTGGACAAGAAACAATTTCTATATTAGGAATTAATACAGCACCTTGAGATACATCTCGATGATTTGACAATGAAGCAGCACCTGCACCCAGCCAGGGCATCCGCTCATGGCTTGGTGTATAAATCTCTGCGTAATCATGTGTTGTCTCATCTCCTCCACCAGAAACAGAAGCACCAGGCAGGGATGAAGATGGAAGTAGTGCAAGACTCTCAACGGCAGCCTGCAAGTCCTGGGTAAGCAATGAGCTGGAAGCATCCACCCCTGTGCAAGCACACCAAAAACAAAAATTTCCTTGGATGAAGTTAAAATATTCTGAACTAAACTAAAGCAAACTATCTTACTCTAATTTTACCCAAGTCAGATATGAAGTCTAAATGAAAGATCAAAACTCTGACGATAAACGTTAGAGCTCTATGTTACATAGCATAAGTAGAATGATTAGCATGGAAAAATTTTAATTCTTGGAGAAAAATTTAATCGCTCTTTTGTCCACTATAAAATCCAACATTAATCAAAGTTAGCAACATTCCAAAAAATACAACTTGGGAGGATGGGATATTCATGGCAAGACTAATCTTTAAAAAAAAGTACACTGTGATGATTCTTCCCTTTCTCACTAAACAAACAAACAAACAAAATAAATAAAATATGCCACTCTAGACACTTCAGTTTGAACCCATAAATACCTCCTCAAAATAAAACCGTTGTTGTTCATGAAACAAACTCAAAATTTTTAACAGTCCATTACAATAACTAAAACTTTACTAATGTAAAAATATATGCTATGTTAACAAAGTTACATTCCATACCAGAAATAGGTTTAATTATGAAAAATACGAGTGCCCTAACACCAAGTATTTATTAATTATTCGAAACATACCCTGATGACCAACAAATCTGATCACGCTCTGCTGTAAAAGTCAAATCAAAGGGGAAAGAAATATACCTGTATAGACATAACTATAAATTTAGAAACTACTGCTATGGATCTCAAAATACCACTTTATTCTGGGTCATTACAAATGATACCTTCAAATTCATTTAATTCTGTTTAATAGACTGCACCTGGAATATGAGGCACTGTTACACTTCCACTGCCACCAACTGAGTGACCAATCTCGACACCCAGCTGTTGCTGCTGCTGTAGACGTCTCCGCTCCACTTCTGAATACGCAGGCTCCATTCCAATTACTCCTGATCTTCCACTATTTAAGAAAACATGTTACATCAATGAAAGGGAACATAAAATTGAAATAATATAAGATACCAACTGTCTTTTTGTATAACTACAATTTAATTTTATCCTTTCAATTTCATATGAGGTATCAGTTAAAGAAGAAACATGTGAATTAGTATTACCTTAATGATGGGTTTTCTGTAGTTTGTGCTGTAGCTGAAGACAGTGGTCGTGCTGGCAGATCATGAAGAGGCAGCACTAGAGAGTCATCACTTGTGGTGGTGGCTGTAACATCTAGACTCAGACTTGCCCTTGATGAAGATCCCTGCATCACCATTGGTGAAATCAGTTTATTTTTCTCATAAGTACCATAAGCTCTTCAGGGAGCTTAACTTCCATAGTGTTTCAATGTCACAACTTACACTATTACGTACTTACATCAAAAACTATGATTTCCATTTTTTTATGACTGGTACCTGTTCATATACGTTCTTGGCAGATGATCCAGAAGTGGTTTGCCATTGCCTTCTTCTGTGTGTGAATGGAGTAATTGTTGGGATGCCACGGAGAAACCGGAGAAGCCCCCGGAGGAAAACTCCGTATTGCCTAGACCACGGCCTTGCCCAACACAAGTTATAAATTCGGGCACCGCCGGGAATCGAACCCGAGACTCCAGGATTACAGAACATATTGTTTGTAACAATTATCTGAAGCAGGACACATGGCAACATCATGCCTTTGATCTACACTGGACATTGGTTACCACTCTTTCAGAGGAAAGTACTGACATCATCCTTACCCTGATGACAGATGTGGTAGGTTTCTCTAAAATGCTTGTCACCGCCTATGAGACTATGAGCCAGGTACCTTAGTCAGTACAGTGTCTAGCAACTGACTAGATGACCACGGTTCAATCCCTGGCACAGTCAAAATATTTTTTTCTAGCCTCTGTGTCCACTGTGCTGGGTGTCATGCTTACCATTAAACCTATCTAGTGATAGGGGTCAGGAATAAGTAGGAGCTTCAAGCGATTCCATGACATATAGTGGGACAACTTTACTTTTACACCTACAAGATTACATACATCACAACCTACATCCTATCCAGAGAACTTTCATGTCTGTGAAATTCTAACCTTGTACCAGTAGTATGGTCTTGCTGAAAAAAACATGAAATGCTAATGGAAAAAAATGGAAAAAAATGTTGAAGCCACCTTTTTAAATTCTGTCCATCAGACAGAGTCCTATGCACATAAGTAAATACATATTCTTGACCAGGAAGGAATACCAATTTAACTTTGGTACCACTACCTAAATAACTAATGTAACAAAGCATCTCCTCACTTCAGACTACGGAAATGCACCAGTCAATTGTTTATATAGACAGACTTTACTATAGGTTTTCTTTATACTGATTTTAATTAACCTGTCCAATATTTGGAGAATACCCAATTCAATCAGAATGTTGTACAACTCTTCTCTCCTAAGTCAGAGACTTTCCTGAAGCCCATAAACAGCTGAGTATTGTCCCACTATGCTATCATCTTATTCCAGGACCCAACAAATGCACTATATAGATCAAGCCATTATACTATGTAGGGGTCCGCAGCGGCCGCGCGTTCTGAGGTGTGGGCCTTGTGCCCCTTGGTCACTGGGACAGTGGGTTCGAATCCCACTCAAGCCATGTATGCTTGTCCGCGTTTTTCTGTGTCGTGCTGTCCTGTGTACAGGTAGAGGCCTTGCGACGGGCCGATCCCTCGTCCAAGGAGTCCTACCGAATGTCTATAGATCAAGCCAACGAAAAGTTGGGACCTGCAGTGCTCAGGCACTTGAAGAACGGGTTGTTCCCAGTATCCATCATACTATGTAATCTCTTAACTAAGCTGCATAATAAAGGAAACTGTTCTGTTACTCACCCCAGTGCTTGACCTGTCTTTGACTACCCCAGCAACCAGCTGGTTGTGTGCCAGATGGTTCCTCAGCAGCTCCAGTTGTGCATTGCACTTCTGGTTCTGTTCACGCAGATGTTGATTTTGTTCCTCAAGCTGAAATGAGACAACATTTAATCAAAAAATCAATTGCCTTCACATCTTTTAAGATCATCTTATAAGCACACATAGACTTAAATTCTATTTCACACTTAATGGCCATGAATATGTAGAGAAAAAACAGTCATACACAGGAAAGCATAATTGCTTTTACTGTCGCTTTCTCACAATTCAAAAGTGCAGTTTCTGATTATTAAGCAGATATGACGCACAAAATATTTCTATAGCTAACATAAAACAGCGACAATGGGAATGTATAAGGACTGTTTGGATCAGAATACTATTCAGCTCGAGAGAATTTTAACAATTCTGGGCGTCACAATAATGGAAGTGGATTTCATCCATATTTTGTCTCAGTTACCAGTTTCATTTAATTTTAAATAAATGTCATTTCTCACTACTTTATCAAAATGAAAGACCATAAGAGTAAATAAGCCTTAAAGTTCTAACTCTGAATCTTTAGGTCAAAGCAAAATTGCACATACAGTTTTACGGACACAAACACCCTTGTCACATTAACCACTGATATGCTCTGTGTTTATTTGTTTACATTAAAACAGAACTAATTTTTAACATACCTAAGAAATGTACCATATCCTAATGTTATAACACAAACTAATTACATGCCCTTTACTGACTACATTTATTGCACTGCACATGGCAGTAACCACTTCAGCATACTATATCTACAGAGTAAAGTGCAGCAAAGGAGGTATAAAAAATCTCAATTTCACACTACATTTACTCTAATTCAGAAACTATCCCACCTCCCGAAGTTTATTGGTGACCCACTCTTTGATCTTGGCTGCCTTTGCCTCCACCTGTTTGGCGTCTTGTAGTCGTAGCAGGCGCTAGAACAAATGTGACACCTCACAGTGAAAAGTTTATCACCACTCACAATAACAGTCATCATCACTGTCTTCATATTCAGATGTGTGTTCTCATCCAACATGATCAGAAGTGGTTTAAATATTGAATGAAAATAAGAACTGATCCACATCAATAATTTGAATTAAAAAAAAAATTTAAAGGGGGGGGGGGGGAAGCATAGAATTTATGCTCATGGTACAGTTAATTTGAGTACCCATGACACAATCACACCTAAAAATTAAACTGTGGCATCCACTACTTTGTTTAATAATAGTCCATACTAATCTAAATACTGTCAGTTACATGATACGCCTAGCCTAAAAGTAGACTGTGATAATTTATAGGCTGTTTATTCCCAATGGTGCCACCTACATGTGGTCCCACACCGTAGCCGCGTGGTCTGAGGCATCATGCTTCGGACTGGTGATACGGAATGTGTGCTGGTTTGAGTCTCGGGGAAAGAAATTTCTCATGAGATTTTTGATTGGAGTGGTGATGAAAACTAGGAATGGCTGGGGGTTCGTCGTGCTGACCACACGTCACCCTATATCTGGTTGGATGATCGTTCACCTCTGCTTAGGCATGTGAACGTGAGGGCAGCAGCCAGCTAGTCAGCTTTGGCTCTCAGAGGGCTGTTACGTCACGGTGCCACCTACATGTAGTATAACTTTCCATTTATAACTTCCCGCAATGAACTACAATGTAATTACATTTCTTATGTAAGATATTAGGGAAAGCAATTCATACTTTACAAATCTGGATGATGTTTTAAATATCCTTTAAAAATAACACATAAGACTATAGAGAAAAATCCTTCTCAAGAAAAGATAGTTGCTCAACTGATCAAGAAATTCCTCCTTCATCCATCTTTCATGGATCCTGAAGATCCATTATCTTGTTTACAAGAGTCCATCACTGGACTCTAACCTGAGACAGCTCAATCTCATTAACTCCTTCCCATTCTATTCCTTTAACATCCACGGGCTCCTTTTATGCTTTTTGACTAAAATCTTGTGAGCATCGACTCTCTCCCATGCACAGTATTCATCCTGCTGTCAACCTTCAATAAAAATAATGTACCATATTCACTCTTTGAAACATCAGAGCATTTCTTGAAAAACATAACTAACTTTTTCCTCACTTTTACATAACTCTTTGTTAACATACACGGTTAATCCAGGAGTGCTCGAAAGAGGGTTAGGTCTCCTGTTCCATCACAATAAATCAAATTTTATATACGTAAAAAAAACTATATATGTAAAGTGATAACACTTTGTAACATGCTAGGCTTTTATGGTGAAATGTTTTTAGGCCACCAATCGAGAATAAATTGGAAGGCCCATCCTTTTTTGGCTGTCAGTGGCTGCTTATTTAATACATTCACAGTCGTCCTTTTCATATCTGAGAGCTATCTCCTTCGTACTCAATATGAAGATCATGCTGTGGTAACGAGGGACAAAATAAGAGGCATATCACTGCAAGAAAACACATGACCTCGCATGTTCAGATGTTTAAAACGCATTGTACTTCTTTGCTGGACACTGCAGCTGCGTGCAAAGTTAGGGGCCATGTCCAAATTTATAGCAATAACCTCTAACAATGGACTTCTGTAACAGCAATCTAAAAATAACCAATTTAACTCCAACAAACATATAACACAATGCACTGTGACATTTTCACTATTCTGTACATCATGAAGAACAATATTACAGAAGAAACTTAATAATTTACCAACACCCTATTTCAGAACTGTTCTGCCTATTTCTTCTTACTATAAACAAATGAAGTAATGTCCTATTTGATGCTAGTATTAGCTGGTAGTCAAAATTGTATACCTGCTCTTCCACTTGAGTTTCGAGCTTATTGATGACAGTTTCTTTTGCCTGAACAGTGCTACTGAGGCTCGACACATGCTCAGTTGTTTCACCAGGAGTCCAGTCAGCCTCAGCAAGCCTCTGCTCCATCATCCGAACCTAAACAAATTCATTTCATTATGTTTAAATTTCAACTTAATACTTAAAAGTTAATCCTTGAGGTCCACAATCCCAGTTCATTCCAACATAAAATTCAGACACCATAATGTAATGTCAGGGATAAATTCTGATTAAAAGCAAACCCAAAAGTTTGACTTTGCCTTCTGCAAGTATCATAAAAGGTGATCATGTGTATGTTGTCTGTGTATCGCCATTGTATTTCAGATGATGTCATAAATCATCAGTTAATTTGTTATGTGATTTTTTGCTACAAGAGCCAGTGACTTGTTACAGACTGATATTATAGGTGGTCAGAAATTAAAACATGTGCCATATTCGGTGTTCCTTAGTGGCATAATATTAATACTACCATAAAATTAGTCAATTGTCTCAAAATGTACAAGGGGTATATATGAACACAATAATACCATACACCTTCCTACCCTATTATAATAAGGGAAACAGGTTAAATTTGAGAGGACAGAAGAAATAAAAGAACACAAAGAAGGATAAGACAAAAATTATGGTGGAATGATAAAAGAGAATAGCTATATGTCTGAATCGACTCCCTGTCTCGTTGCTTGGGGTGACTCCTACAAAGAAATTCCAATTAAGCAGCAGTTCCGTGAATGTGACTCACCCTATTATTTCTGTTGAAAGGAATTCATTGGCGTTTTGCAAGTCTTTTGAAAATGTGACAATCCAGAAACAGAAACATTAACAATTTTTGGAAACACGTTAGGAAATATATGCACAACAAATATTGATGGCTCCTTCACCATACTTTGACCTCCACCCGGTCACTTACGCATGAGAAACACATTCAAATGGTAACTCTGACTTAACATTAGCCGGAAAACCTAGGAAGAAGGACGTCTTTAGAGATCTAGGAGTAGATGGGAGGATTTTAAAGAAACAAGTGTCTGAAGGAGGAGGATAGAGTGAACTGGCTCACGATACGAGCCAATGGCACGATAATTAACTTTCGTGTTCCGCAATAGTGGGAATTTCTTAACGAGTCAATTAATTACATAGCTTTGAAGAAAGACCCTAAAACACCACTGCATTAGAGACAAAGTAAACAGCACAGGCCTAACGCAGAAAAACCTTCATTTTGTTGGTTCACTGGAAGGACGAACTGTCGACCTTACCTCGTCTAAATGACTAAATAAAACAGTGGCTGTTTCACTCAGCCTCCTGGTATAATTCTTTACGCCGGTTTTACGAGGATAGCCTCGTGAAAGCAGAAGTGTCTACGTGTTCTGACGTACATACCTGACAAGTTTTCGACCGAGTCAGGGTCCACTGTGACAAACCGAGCAACGCCAGAGGCTTCTCTTCCTGCTGTAGTTACTTTTCAGATACAAGAGAAACATTTTGCTACGCGAGAAGAATTTTTCTTTTTGCGCATTCCTCTGCGAAACTACTTCAAAAGACATACACATGTACGCACATGTTTAAATAAATTGGAACAAGTACAAGATGCACAAGTAAAAATGACTGTCTTCTGATATGTTGCGCCGTGTTATCTGATAG